AAATGCAGCCCGCGAAAATTCAATTTGGTAGACGTTAACCAAATTTACCCCCTCCAGGCCGGCTCGCATCCCCAGCCTATCGCTCAGCAGACGCCCCCTTCCAATCATCTGTACCGACTACGCCAGCCGCATAAAAACGGAGCAACTCCCACTACCGGCCTCTGAAGCCTTGCAACCACCGCCTCCCCTCCTCCAACCTGCTCTTCAATCTGCCTGCCTCCAATCTGCCTCAATCTGCTTCCCGCTGCCAAATGCCGCCACCAGTGCCTAGGTCCCGGGGGATTGTGCGCGCTCCATCGCAGGAGCCTTTCCGATCTGAAGGCCGCACCGGGACCTAGGGCGCCAAACCTCCTTTCAATAAAATACTCAAAAACTTCCTGTTTCTCGTCTCTACAAATTGAATTGTGTCTGTCATTACTCAGCACCTTGGTGACCTAAGACCTTAGCTCTGGAAGACTTGCTGTGTGGTAAAGAAGTATAAAGGTTTATCTTACCTTATTTTAAGTATCTCCAAGCTCAGACATATGGTCTCAGGTCAGACATATGGTCTCAGGTCAGACATATGGTCTCAGGTCAGACATATGGTCTCAGGTCAGACATATGGTCTCAGACATATGGTCTCAGACATATGGTCTCAGACATATGGTCTCAGGTCAGACATATGGTCTCAGACATATGGTCTCAGACATATGGTCTCAGGTCAGACATATGGTCTCAGACATATGGTCTCAGGTCAGACATATGGTCTCAGGTCAGACATATGGTCTCAGGTCAGACATATGGTCTCAGGTCAGACATATGGTCTCAGGTCAGACATATGGTCTCAGGTCAGACATATGGTCTCAGACATATGGTCTAAGACATATGGTCTCAGGTCAGACATATGGTCTCAGACATATGGTCTCAGACATATGGTCTCAGACATATGGTCTCAGGTCAGACATATGGTCTCAGACATATGGTCTCAGGTCAGACATATGGTCTCAGGTCAGACATATGGTCTCAGACATATGGTCTCAGGTCAGGAGCTGGAGATGATTGGACTATTGTAACAGCTGCTTACATGTCTTAGTAAGAAAGACCTGGCTCGTTTACAAGTCGTAAAAAATTTTGCTTTTGCTTTTGACCCACACCCACAGAAGAGAGCACCCACAGGAGAGAGCACCCACAGGAGAGAGCACCCACAGGAGAGAGCACCCACAGAAGAGAGCACCCACAGGAGAGAGCACCCACAGGAGAGAGCACCCACAGGAGAGAGCACCCACAGAAGAGAGCACCCACAGGAGAGAGCACCCACAGGAGAGAGCACCCACAGGAGAGAGCACCCACAGGAGAGAGCACCCACAGGAGAGCACCCACAGGAGAGAGCATCCACAGGAGAGAGCACCCACAGGAGAGAGCACCCACAGGAGAGAGCACCCACAGGAGAGAGCACCCACAGGAGAGAGCACCCACAGGAGAGAGCACCCACAGGAGAGCACCCACAGGAGAGAGCATCCACAGGAGAGAGCACCCACAGGAGAGAGCACCCACAGGAGAGCACCCACAGGAGAGAGCATCCACAGGAGAGAGCACCCACAGGAGAGAGCACCCACAGGAGAGCGCACCCACAGGAGAGAGCATCCACAGGAGAGAGCACCCACAGGAGAGAGCACCCACAGGAGAGAGCACCCACAGGAGAGCGCACCCACAGGAGAGAGCACCCACAGGAGTGAGCACCCACAGGAGAGAGCACCCACAGGAGAGAGCACCCACAGGAGAGAGCACCCACAGGAGAGAGCACCCACAGGAGAGCACCCACAGGAGAGAGCACCCACAGGAGAGAGCACCCACAGGAGAGAGCACCCACAGGAGAGCACCCACAGGAGAGAGCACCCACAGGAGAGCCCACATTACTCCTATCTTGAAGTCCTAATGGTGCTTTCAGACCGCCAACGCTGAAGCCCCGCCCACCAGACGCACATTCTCTAGTTTTCAGACGCAGAGGACTTCACACCAGAACGTCCTGACGCGAGTCGGAAGTAGCCGGCTCTGATGCTAACAGAGCTATGCTAGCGGCTTCTTGTGCACAGATCTTCTCCAATATGTAGCTTTGCAGCGTGTCTTTGCTCAAAGAGTTTCCACTGGCTTTATACAACAGCAGTATGTGTTCACGGAGGTGACTTTATATAACAGCAGTATGTGTTCAGGGAGGTGACTTTATACAACAGCAGTAAGTGTTCACGGTGACTTTATATAACAGCAGTATGTGTTCACGGTGACTTTATATAACAGCAGTATGTGTTCACAGTGACTTTATATAACAGTAGTATGTGTTCACGGAGGTGACTTTATATAACAGCAGTATGTGTTCACGGAGGTGACTTTATACAACAGCAGTATGTGTTCACGGAGGTGACTTTATATAACAGCAGTAAGTGTTCACGGTGACTTTATATAACAGCAGTATGTGTTCACGGAGGTGACTTTATATAACAGTAGTATGTGTTCACGGTGACTTTATATAACAGCAGTATGTGTTCACGGTGACTTTATATAACAGCAGTAAGTGTTCACGGTGACTTTATATAACAGCAGTATGTGTTCACTGTGACTTTATATAACAGCAGTATGTGTTCACGGAGGTGACTTTATATAACAGCAGTATGTGTTCACGGAGGTGACATTATATAACAGCAGTATGTGTTCAGGGAGGTGACTTTATACAACAGCAGTAAGTGTTCACGGTGACTTTATATAACAGCAGTATGTGTTCACGGTGACTTTATATAACAGTAGTATGTGTTCACGGTGACTTTATATAACAGCAGTATGTGTTCACGGTGACTTTATATAACAGCAGTAAGTGTTCACGGTGACTTTATATAACAGCAGTATGTGTTCACTGTGACTTTATATAACAGCAGTATGTGTTCACGGAGGTGACTTTATATAACAGCAGTATGTGTTCACGGAGGTGACATTATATAACAGCAGTATGTGTTCACGGAGGTGACTTTATATAACAGCAGTATGTGTTCACGGAGGTGACTTTATATAACAGCAGTATGTGTTCACGGAGGTGACTTTATATAACAGCAGTATGTGTTCACGGAGGTGACTTTATATAACAGCAGTATGTGTTCACGGAGGTGACTTTATATAACAGCAGTATGTGTTCACGGAGGTGACTTTATATAAAGCAGTATGTGTTCACGGAGGTGACTTTATATAACAGCAGTATGTGTTCACGGTGACTTTATATAACAGCAGTATGTGTTCACGGAGGTGACTTTATATAACAGCAGTATGTGTTCACGGTGACTTTATATAACAGCAGTATGTGTTCACGGAGGTGACTTTATATAACAGCAGTATGTGTTCACGGAGGTGACTTTATATAACAGCAGTATGTGTTCACGGAGGTGACTTTATATAACAGTAGTATGTGTTCACAGAGGTGACTTTATATAACAGCAGTATGTGTTCACAGTGATTGTATATAACAGTAGTATGTGTTCACGGAGGTGACTTTATATAACAGCAGTATGTGTTCACGGAGGTGACTTTATATAACAGTAGTATGTGTTCACGGAGGTGACTTTATATAACAGCAGTATGTGTTCACAGTGACTTTATATAACAGTAGTATGTGTTCACGGAGGTGACTTTATATAACAGCAGTATGTGTTCACAGTGACTTTATATAACAGCAGTATGTGTTCACGGAGGTGACTTTATATAACAGCAGTATGTGTTCACGGAGGTGACTTTATATAAAGCAGTATGTGTTCACGGAGGTGACTTTATATAACAGCAGTATGTGTTCACGGAGGTGACTTTATATAACAGCAGTATGTGTTCACGGAGGTGACTTTATATAACAGCAGTATGTGTTCACGGAGGTGACTTTATATAACAGCAGTATGTGTTCAGGGAGGTGACTTTATATAACAGCAGTATGTGTTCACGGAGGTGCGCCATACGTTTTTGCATTATTAAACTGTATTTCCGCATCGGCGAACACACTCGAAGCAGTTGCATAAGGTCACGGTAGCATGACAACACATATATTCACAAGCACAGAGTCCCCCCTTCTCAAACCTGGTTTAGTCCTGGTTTAGTCCTGGTTTAGTCCTGGTTTAGTCCTGGTTTAGTCCTGGTATAGTCCTGTTTTAGTCCTGGTTTAGTCCTGGTTTAGTCCTGGTTTAGTCCTGGTTTAGTCCTGGTTTAGTCCTGGTATAGTCCTGGTTTAGTCCTGGTTTAGTCCTGGTTTAGTCCTGGTTTAGTCCTGGTTTAGTCCTGGTTTAGTCCTGGTTTAGTCCTGGTATAGTCCTGGTTTAGTCCTGGTTTAGTCCTGGTTTAGTCCTGGTTTAGTCCTGGTTTAGTCCTGGTTTAGTCCTGGTATAGTCCTGGTTTAGTCCTGGTTTAGTCCTGGTTTAGTCCTGGTTTAGTCCTGGTTTAGTCCTGGTTTAGTCCTGGTATAGTCCTAGTTTAGTCCTGGTGTAGCTCCTGTTTTGGCTGTTTACAGTATGTTCAGTCTGCTCGCTCAGAACACCAATGTCCCCGTGACCACTTTGCTGCTCTCTGATTGGTCGCTGCACGACCGTCCCGAGGAAAAGTTGAGCAAAGTTTATCTCCTGTGGGCGTCCATTTTCCGTTCCTGCTCCTCCCCTTTCACTTTCCCGCCAAGTCCGTGCAGCTCTACTCAGCGGTCCGTAGGTGCGTGCCGAGAGGTCGGTGCGTTTTGACGCTGCGTCACCATAGACTTTGCATTGAAACTCGACACAACGCATGATCCGGTCTGAACGCACCTTTACACTGGTTCCCTGTCTCACACAGAATACATTTTAAAATTCTAGTGTTGACATTCAGGGCTCTTCATGGTCAGGCGCCTGAATACATCCAGGGCCTGATCCACCCCCTCCAACCGGAGTCCTCCACTCAGAACCTGTTCACCCTCAGAACCCATCACGCTGCCCATCACGCTGCCCATCCTGCTGCCCATCCTGCTGCCCATCATGCTGCCCATCCTGCTGCCCATCCTGCTGCCCATCACGCTGCCCATCCTGCTGCCCATCCTGCTGCCCATCCTGCTGCCCATCCTGCTGCCCATCCTGCTGCCCATCCTGCTGCCCATCCTGCTGCCCATCACGCTGCCCATCACGCTAACCATCACGCTGCCCATCACGCTGCCCATCACGCTGCCCATCCTGCTGCCCCATCACGCTGCCCCATCACGCTGCCCCATCACGCTGCCCATCCTGCTGCCCATCCTGCTGCCCATCACGCTGCCCCATCCTGCTGCCCATCCTGCTGCCCATCACGCTAACCATCACGCTGCCCATCACGCTGCCCATCACGCTGCCCATCACTGCTGCCCATCCTGCTGCCCATCTGCTGCCCATCATGCTGCCCATCACGCTGCCCATCGCCCATCATGCTGCCCATCACGCTGCCCATCACGCTAACCATCCTGCTGCCCATCACGCTGCCCATCACGCTGCCCATCACGCTGCCCCATCACGCTGCCCATCACGCTGCCCATAATGCTGCCCATCACGCTGCCCATCACGCTGCCCATCACGCTGCCCATAATGCTGCCCATCACGCTGCCCATCACGCTGCCCATCACGCTGCCCATCACGCTGCCCATCACGCTGCCCCATCACGCTGCCCATCACGCTGCCCATCACGCTGCCCATCATGCTGCCCATCACGCTGCCCATCATGCTGCCCATCACGCTGCCCATCCTGCTGCCCATCCTGCTGCCCATCATGCTGCCCATCACGCTGCCCCATCACGCTGCCCCATCATGCTGCCCATCACGCTGCCCATCACGCTGCCCATCACGCTGCCCATCACGCTGCCCATCACGCTGCCCATCACGCTGCCCATCACGCTGCCCATCACGCTGCCCATCACGCTGCCCATCACGCTGCCCATCATGCTGCCCATCACGCTGCCCATCACGCTGCCCATCATGCTGCCCATCACGCTGCCCATCACGCTGCCCCATCACGCTGCCCATCACGCTGCCCCATCACGCTGCCCCATCACGCTGCCCATCCTGCTGCCCATCCTGCTGCCCATCATGCTGCCCATCACGCTGCCCATCACGCTGCCCCATCACGCTGCCCATCACGCTGCCCCATCACGCTGCCCCATCACGCTGCCCCATCATGCTGCCCATCACGCTGCCCATCACGCTGCCCATCACGCTGCCCATCATGCTGCCCATCACGCTGCCCATCACGCTGCCCATCACGCTGCCCATCATGCTGCCCATCACGCTGCCCATCATGCTGCCCCATCACGCTGCCCATCACGCTGCCCATCATGCTGCCCATCACGCTGCCCATCATGCTGCCCCATCACGCTGCCCATCACGCTGCCCATCACGCTGCCCATCATGCTGCCCATCACGCTGCCCATCACGCTGCCCATCACGCTGCCCATCATGCTGCCCATCACGCTGCCCCATCATGCTGCCCATCACGCTGCCCATCCTGCTGCCCATCCTGCTGCCCATCATGCTGCCCATCACGCTGCCCCATCACGCTGCCCCATCATGCTGCCCATCACGCTGCCCATCACGCTGCCCATCACGCTGCCCATCATGCTGCCCATCACGCTGCCCATCACGCTGCCCATCACGCTGCCCATCCTGCTGCCCATCACGCTGCCCATCACGCTGCCCCATCACGCTGCCCATCACGCTGCCCATCACGCTGCCCATCACGCTGCCCATCACGCTGCCCCATCATGCTGCCCCATCACGCTGCCCCATCATGCTGCCCATCACGCTGCCCCATCCTGCTGCCCATCCTGCTGCCCATCATGCTGCCCCATCACGCTGCCCATCATGCTGCCCATCCTGCTGCCCATCATGCTGCCCATCCTGCTGCCCATCACGCTGCCCATCACGCTGCCCATCACGCTGCCCATCACGCTGCCCATCACACTGCCCATCCTGCTGCCCATCATGCTGCCCATCACGCTGCCCCATCCTGCTGCCCATCATGCTGCCCATCACGCTGCCCCATCACGCTGCCCATCACGCTGCCCATCACGCTGCCCATCATGCTGCCCCATCATGCTGCCCATCACGCTGCCCCATCACGCTGCCCATCACGCTGCCCATCACGCTGCCCATCACGCTGCCCATCATGCTGCCCATCACGCTGCCCATCACGCTGCCCCATCACGCTGCCCCATCACGCTGCCCATCACGCTGCCCATCACGCTGCCCCATCACGCTGCCCCATCACGCTGCCCCATCACGCTGCCCATCACGCTGCCCATCACGCTGCCCATCACGCTGCCCATCATGCTGCCCCATCATGCTGCCCATCACGCTGCCCCATCACGCTGCCCATCACGCTGCCCATCACGCTGCCCATCACGCTGCCCATCATGCTGCCCATCACGCTGCCCATCACGCTGCCCCATCACGCTGCCCCATCACGCTGCCCATCACGCTGCCCATCACGCTGCCCATCCTGCTGCCCATCATGCTGCCCATCATGCTGCCCATCACGCTGCCCCATCACGCTGCCCATCATGCTGCCCATCATGCTGCCCCATCACGCTGCCCCATCATGCTGCCCATCACGCTGCCCATCACGCTGCCCATCACGCTGCCCATCACGCTGCCCATCACGCTGCCCATCACGCTGCCCATCATGCTGCCCATCATGCTGCCCATCACGCTGCCCCATCATGCTGCCCATCACGCTGCCCATCACGCTGCCCATCACGCTGCCCATCACGCTGCCCATCACGCTGCCCATCACGCTGCCCATCCTGCTGCCCATCATGCTGCCCATCCTGCTGCCCATCACGCTGCCCATCACGCTGCCCATCACGCTGCCCATCCTGCTGCCCATCATGCTGCCCATCACGCTGCCCATCCTGCTGCCCATCATGCTGCCCATCACGCTGCCCATCACGCTGCCCATCATGCTGCCCATCACGCTGCCCATCCTGCTGCCCATCCTGCTGCCCCATCACGCTGCCCATCACGCTGCCCATCACGCTGCCCATCACGCTGCCCATCACGCTGCCCCATCCTGCTGCCCATCACGCTGCCCCATCCTGCTGCCCATCACGCTGCCCATCATGCTGCCCATCACGCTGCCCCATCCTGCTGCCCATCACGCTGCCCCATCCTGCTGCCCCATCACGCTGCCCCATCACGCTGCCCCATCATGCTGCCCCATCCTGCTGCCCATCCTGCTGCCCATCCTGCTGCCCATCACGCTGCCCCATCATGCTGCCCATCACGCTGCCCATCCTGCTGCCCATCCTGCTGCCCATCACGCTGCCCATCCTGCTGCCCATCACGCTGCCCCATCCTGCTGCCCATCCTGCTGCCCCATCCTGCTGCCCATCCTGCTGCCCATCATGCTGCCCATCACGCTGCCCATCACGCTGCCCCATCCTGCTGCCCATCATGCTGCCCATCACGCTGCCCATCACGCTGCCCATCATGCTGCCCATCACGCTGCCCATCCTGCTGCCCATCCTGCTGCCCCATCACGCTGCCCATCACGCTGCCCATCACGCTGCCCATCACGCTGCCCATCATGCTGCCCATCACGCTGCCCCATCCTGCTGCCCATCACGCTGCCCCATCCTGCTGCCCATCACGCTGCCCCATCACGCTGCCCCATCATGCTGCCCCATCCTGCTGCCCATCCTGCTGCCCATCCTGCTGCCCATCACGCTGCCCCATCATGCTGCCCATCACGCTGCCCATCCTGCTGCCCATCCTGCTGCCCATCACGCTGCCCATCCTGCTGCCCATCACGCTGCCCCATCCTGCTGCCCATCCTGCTGCCCCATCCTGCTGCCCATCCTGCTGCCCATCATGCTGCCCATCACGCTGCCCATCACGCTGCCCCATCCTGCTGCCCATCACGCTGCCCATCACGCTGCCCCATCACGCTGCCCCATCACGCTGCCCCATCCTGCTGCCCATCCTGCTGCCCATCACGCTGCCCATCACGCTGCCCCATCCTGCTGCCCATCCTGCTGCCCATCACGCTGCCCCATCACGCTGCCCATCACGCTGCCCATCCTGCTGCCCATCCTGCTGCCCATCCTGCTGCCCCATCACGCTGCCCCATCACGCTGCCCATCCTGCTGCCCATCCTGCTGCCCATCATGCTGCCCATCACGCTGCCCATCCTGCTGCCCATCACGCTGCCCCATCACGCTGCCCATCACGCTGCCCATCCTGCTGCCCATCACGCTGCCCATCACGCTGCCCCATCACGCTGCCCATCCTGCTGCCCCATCACGCTGCCCCATCACGCTGCCCATCCTGCTGCCCATCACGCTGCCCATCACGCTGCCCCATCACGCTGCCCATCCTGCTGCCCCATCACGCTGCCCCATCACGCTGCCCATCCTGCTGCCCATCCTGCTGCCCATCCTGCTGCCCATCACGCTGCCCATCACGCTGCCCCATCACGCTGCCCATCCTGCTGCCCCATCACGCTGCCCCATCATGCTGCCCATCACGCTGCCCCATCACGCTGCCCCATCACGCTGCCCATCCTGCTGCCCATCCTGCTGCCCATCCTGCTGCCCATCCTGCTGCCCATCACGCTGCCCATCACGCTGCCCATCACGCTGCCCATCCTGCTGCCCATCACGCTGCCCCATCACGCTGCCCCATCCTGCTGCCCATCCTGCTGCCCATCCTGCTGCCCATCCTGCTGCCCATCCTGCTGCCCATCACGCTGCCCATCCTGCTGCCCCATCACGCTGCCCCATCACGCTGCCCATCCTGCTGCCCATCCTGCTGCCCATCCTGCTGCCCATCCTGCTGCCCATCATGCTGCCCATCACGCTGCCCCATCACGCTGCCCATCATGCTGCCCATCATGCTGCCCATCACGCTGCCCCATCCTGCTGCCCATCCTGCTGCCCATCCTGCTGCCCATCCTGCTGCCCCATCATGCTGCCCATCATGCTGCCCATCACGCTGCCCCATCACGCTGCCCATCACGCTGCCCATCACGCTGCCCATCACGCTGCCCATCACGCTGCCCATCACGCTGCCCCATCACGCTGCCCATCCTGCTGCCCATCCTGCTGCCCATCACGCTGCCCATCATGCTGCCCATCACGCTGCCCATCCTGCTGCCCCATCACGCTGCCCCATCCTGCTGCCCATCCTGCTGCCCCATCACGCTGCCCATCATGCTGCCCATCCTGCTGCCCATCCTGCTGCCCCATCACGCTGCCCATCACGCTGCCCATCACGCTGCCCCATCCTGCTGCCCCATCCTGCTGCCCATCACGCTGCCCATCCTGCTGCCCATCCTGCTGCCCATCCTGCTGCCCATCATGCTGCCCATCACGCTGCCCATCACGCTGCCCCATCCTGCTGCCCATCCTGCTGCCCATCATGCTGCCCATCCTGCTGCCCATCCTGCTGCCCATCCTGCTGCCCATCATGCTGCCCATCACGCTGCCCATCACGCTGCCCCATCCTGCTGCCCATCACGCTGCCCCATCACGCTGCCCCATCCTGCTGCCCATCCTGCTGCCCATCCTGCTGCCCCATCACGCTGCCCCATCCTGCTGCCCATCCTGCTGCCCATCCTGCTGCCCATCCTGCTGCCCCATCATGCTGCCCATCACGCTGCCCATCCTGCTGCCCCATCACGCTGCCCCATCACGCTGCCCCATCACGCTGCCCATCCTGCTGCCCATCCTGCTGCCCATCCTGCTGCCCCATCCTGCTGCCCATCACGCTGCCCCATCACGCTGCCCATCACGCTGCCCCATCACGCTGCCCATCACGCTGCCCCATCACGCTGCCCCATCCTGCTGCCCCATCACGCTGCCCCATCACGCTGCCCACGCTGCCCATCACGCTGCCCATCCTGCTGCCCATCCTGCTGCCCATCCTGCTGCCCATCCTGCTGCCCCATCACGCTGCCCCATCACGCTGCCCCATCACGCTGCCCCATCCTGCTGCCCATCCTGCAGCTGCTCTGCGCGGCACCAAACTCCGGCTCATTTTCCAAGTACGCGTCTGGCCTCCTTCGCAGCGTCTTCCTGCTCGCCTTCTACGGCTTTCTCCGCATAAGCGAGTTCACCACTGCTCACTCAACTTTCAATGCGACCCGAGACACGGCTTTTCCGATCTGTCCTACTACCCTAAACCATTTCAACCTTCATCTCAAGCATTCTAAGCGTAAAGGCGCCTGCAACATAATAACAGCTCGCTCCGACACATCCCTCTGCCCCTACAGGTCCATGATGCGTTACTCTCGCCTCCGCTGTCAAAAAGGAGATCTTAACGGACCTCTATTTCTCACACCAGACAACCTTCCCATGACAGCAACCTGGTTCAGAGCTCAGCTAAAATCCCTACTGCTCCTCTGTAACTTGTCTCCCCAGCTCTATACAGCACACTCGTTAAGGACAGGCGCTGCCACGCGCACGGCCTCGCTCGGGCTCCCCCATTCCTCTTGCAACAGCTGGGGCGCTGGTCCTCGTCGGCTCTCTCCGCTTACATCAGGCCAGATGCAATTGCTATCATTGCAGCGCAGCGACTTCTGGCGTCCTCATAAGCTCCCAGCAATCAAAGCAAGCAAGCAAGCATAAGACTCCTGATGGCGGCACGCACTCCCCTCAACGCTCTCCCCCTGCTCCATAGTTTTTGTAGCGTCTGGCTGAACATGATGCACTCTACTCCTACGCCTAGCAAGCAAGCAAGCAAGCAAAGTTTATTTATATAGCACCTTTCTCAGACAGAAGGTCACAAAGTGCTTCACATCAAAAACAAGCAATAATTAAAAACACAAGAAAAAATTACACAATCAAACAACAGTGGAGACAGTCATATCAGCCCATAAAACCGTACTTTCAAAACGCTCGACTGAACAAGAACGTCTTGAGTTGGGATTTAAATGTATCAACAGAGTCAAGTGATCGTAGAGAGAGCGGGAGATCGTTCCAGAGTCTAGGTGCGACAGCCTGGAAGGATCGGTCTCCTCTGGTTCGATAACGAGTGCGAGGAACCATCAAGAGATTTTTATCTACAGACCTCAGAGAACGAGAGGGGACATAGGGCTGAATCAGATCTCTGATGTAAGAAGGCGTCTGACCATATAAGGATCTAAAAGTCAGCACCAAGATTTTAAATTGAAACCGGTAAGACACCGGCAGCCAGTGGAGGGCTTTAAGAATTGGGGTAATATGAGCCCTTCTATTAGTGCAAGTTAAAATCCTCGCTGCAGAGTTTTGAACCATTTGGAGACGAGACAGCTCTTTTTTGTTTAGACACGAAAATAAACTGTTGCAATAGTCTAAACGTGACGACACAAAAGCATGAATAATGAGCTCCAAATCATTACGTGACACAATTTTCCTCAGTTTAGAGATGTTCCTCAACTGAAAGAAACAATTTCTACTAAGCTGTTTAGAGTGGTGATCTAATGACATGTTTTTGTCAAAAATCACACCAAGGTTCCTGAGACTCTGTGCAGCGGACTGACTGAGATCTCCCAAATACTGGTTTATCCCTGGGATAAGGTCATCAGGAGCAATCACAAGGGTTTCTGTTTTATCAGCATTAAGCTGCAGAGAATTTTTACTTAACCATAGTTTTATATTTTTCAAACAGTTGACTAAAGAGTTCAGCCTTCCCATCTCAGAAGGCTTAAAAGAACAGTACAACTGGATATCGTCAGCAAACAGGTGATAAGAAACATCAGCAAACTCCTGAATGACCTTTCCCAATGGAATTATATAAAGTAGAAATAGAACCGGACCCAAAACAGAGCCCTGCGGAACACCACAGAATAATTTAGCTGAATCAGACATGATTTGATTTGCTGCAACACTAAAACTCCGACCAGATAAGTAAGAGGAAAACCAATTTAGAACTGGCCCTGACAGTCCAACCAAGCCACTCAATCTGTTTAGCATTATGTGGTGGTCGACGGTATCAAACGCTGAGGACAGGTCAAGCAGAACAAGAACAGAGCATTTTCCAGAGTCAGCAGACATCATTATGTCACTGGATACTTTCAACAATGCTGTTTCCGTGGAGTGATGTTTTCGGAAACCAGATTGGAAAGTGTCATGAATGTTATGATGATCCAGGTAGCACGACAATTGTTTTGAGACCACCTTCTCTAAGATCTTGGACAGGAAAGGGAGTTTGGAGATAGGTCTGTAATTTTTTGGGTCCGCTTTGTCCAGATTTGTCCTTTTAAGTAATGGCTCTACGATGGCATGTTTAAATGAAACTGGAAACACGCCACTTGAAAGGGAAAGATTTATCATTTTAGTGACCCAAGGGCCAATTACATAAAGTACTTTTATCAAAAGTCTGCAAGGAAGGACATCAGAAAAACAAGAGGATGGTTTCATCTTCGTGATCAATGTTTCAATCTCTGTTTCAGTAACAGGCTTAAAGGAAGACCAACTGTGTGGTACAGGCTCAGTAGCAACAGAACTGTCACACAAAAGTGGTGGAAATTGGTCTTTTATGACCTTTATCTTGTCAATAAAAACCCTAAGGAATTTATTGCTGTCAGCTTTACAGGAGCATGTTTGGCGCCTAGGGCGCCAAAAATGCTTAATAAAATACTTCAAATTGCATTTTGTGTCATGGGTCTCTCCAGAATGAAGCTTTGCGCAAGTTCACCCTGGTAGACCCGGCCTGCTGCCCAGCTCTTACAGGCCTGCTCTCATCCTCGGCTCATCGCACAGCAACACCCACTTCCAGTCAACCAATAACCGCCAGGCCAGCAAGTTAAAAGCCGGAGACGCCCACTTCCCGGCCTTCTCAAGCTTTGCATCCTCCGCCGCCCCACCTCCTCCTTCTCCCATTTTCGAGCGTGCTTGCCTGCTGCCTCTGCCCCCACCAGTGCCTAGGCCCTGGTGGGGGGTCTCTATGGGCGCGAGCAAGTGCCGCGCTCAACAGCACCGCTCCTGGGCCAAGGGCGCCAAACATGCTTAATAAAAAACTTCAAATTGCATTTTGTGTCATGGGTCTCTCCAGAATTAACTATAATCTAGCCACAGACCATGGGACAGAGACCATGGGGCAGAGACCATGGAGCAGAGACCATGGAGCAGAGACCATGGAGCACAGACCATGCGGCACAGACCATGGGGCACAGACCATGGGGCACAGACCATGGGGCACAGACCATGGGGCACAGACCATGGGGCACAGACCATGGGGCACAGACCATGGGGCACAGACCATGGGGCACAGACCATGGGGCACAGACCATGGGGCAGAGACCATGGGGCAGAGACCATGGAGCAGAGACCATGGAGCAGAGACCATGGAGCAGAGACCATGGAGCACAGACCATGGGGCACAGACCATGGGGCACAGACCATGGGGCAGAGACCATGGAGCAGAGACCATGGAGCAGAGACCATGGAGCACAGACCATGCGGCACAGACCATGGGGCACAGACCATAGGGCACAGACCATGGGGCACAGACCATTCACGCGTTTGTCACCTCAAGGCTCGACTACTGTAACGCTTTACTGGCAGCGTGCCCTAAAGCCTCTTCGTGGGTGCGGGGAGGGGAGCAGAAAGAGAGAGGCCAGCGAGTCCGCGGCTTCAAAATCCCAAAGTCAGTTAGTGCAGCTTTAAGGAAGGCGACACTGTCTCTACATTTAAGGCCAGGCTTAAAACACTCTTTTTCAACTTAGCATTTGGTCAGGTCTCGTCCGGTCTTGGAGTCTGCGTATGTTGGACCCGGTCCGCTGCGTCTTCAACCCTACGCTCTAGGCTAGGCTAAAACAGTCCTCTTTAGTTTAGCATATGGCGAGACTTTCAATGGTTTTGTTCAGTCTCTGAGATTATGCTGTTGTGATTTAGGGAAATACAAGAATACATTGAATTGTATTGTATTGTATCCGGGCAGAGACCGTGGGGCAGAGACCGTGGGGGCAGAGACCATGGGGGCAGAGACCGTGGGGCAGAGACCGTGGGGCAGAGACCGTGGGGGCAGAGACCGTGGGGCAGAGACCGTGGGGCAGAGACCGTGGGGCAGAGACCGTGGGGCAGAGACCGTGGGGCAGAGACCATGGGGCAGAGACCGTGGGGGCAGAGACCGTGGGGGCAGAGACCATGGGGGCAGAGACCGTGGGGCAGAGACCGTGGGGCAGAGACCGTGGGGCAGAGACCGTGGGGGCAGAGACCGTGGGGCAGAGACCGTGGGGCAGAGACCGTGGGGCAGAGACCATGGGGTAGAGACCGTGGGGGCAGAGACCGTGGGGGCAGAGACCATGGGGGCAGAGACCATGGGGCAGAGACCGTGGGGCAGAGACCGTGGGGTAGAGACCATGGGGTAGAGACCGTGGGGCAGAGACCGTGGGGCAGAGACCGTGGGGGCAGAGACCGTGGGGGCAGAGACCATGGGGGCAGAGACCATGGGGCAGAGACCGTGGGGCAGAGACCGTGGGGCAGAGACCGTGGGGCAGAGACCGTGGGGGCAGAGACCGTGGGGCAGAGACCGTGGGGCAGAGACCGTGGGGGCAGAGACCGTGGGGGCAGAGACCATGGGGGCAGAGACCATGGTGGCAGAGACCGTGGGGCAGAGACCATGGGGGCAGAGACCGTGGGGCAGAGACCGTGGGGCAGAGACCGTGGGGCAGAGACCGTGGGGCAGAGACCGTGGGGCAGAGACCATGGGGGCAGAGACCGTGGGGCAGAGACCATGGGGGCAGAGACCGTGGGGCAGAGACCGTGGGGCAGAGACCGTGGGGCAGAGACCGTGGGGCAGAGACCATGGGGGCAGAGACCGTGGGGCAGAGACCGTGGGGCAGAGACCGTGGGGCAGAGACCGTGGGGGCAGAGACCATGGGGCAGAGACCATGGGGCAGAGACCATGGGGCAGAGACCATGGGGGCAGAGACCATGGGGGCATAGACCGTGGGGCAGAGACCATGGGGGCAGAGACCATGGGGGCAGAGACCATGGGGGCATAGACCGTGGGGCAGAGACCATGGGGGCAGAGACCATGGGGGCAGAGACCGTGGGGGCAGAGACCATGGGGGCAGAGACCATGGGGCAGAGACCGTGGGGCAGAGACCGTGGGGTAGAGACCATGGGGTAGAGACCGTGGGGCAGAGACCGTGGGGCAGAGACCGTGGGGGCAGAGACCGTGGGGGCAGAGACCATGGGGTAGAGACCGTGGGGCAGAGACCGTGGGGTAGAGACCGTGGGGCAGAGACCGTGGGGGCAGAGACCGTGGGGGCAGAGACCGTGGGGGCAGAGACCATGGGGGCAGAGACCATGGGGCAGAGACCGTGGGGCAGAGACCGTGGGGTAGAGACCATGGGGTAGAGACCGTGGGGCAGAGACCGTGGGGCAGAGACCGTGGGGGCAGAGACCGTGGGGGCAGAGACCATGGGGGCAGAGACCATGGGGCAGAGACCGTGGGGCAGAGACCGTGGGGCAGAGACCGTGGGGCAGAGACCGTGGGGGCAGAGACCGTGGGGCAGAGACCGTGGGGCAGAGACCGTGGGGCAGAGACCGTGGGGCAGAGACCATGGGGGCAGAGACCGGGGGCAGAGACCATGGGGGCAGAGACCGTGGGGCAGAGACCGTGGGGCAGAGACCATGGGGCAGAGACCGTGGGGCAGAGACCGTGGGGTAGAGACCATGGGGTAGAGACCGTGGGGCAGAGACCGTGGGGCAGAGACCGTGGGGGCAGAGACCGTGGGGGCAGAGACCATGGGGGCAGAGACCATGGGGCAGAGACCGTGGGGCAGAGACCGTGGGGCAGAGACCGTGGGGCAGAGACCGTGGGGGCAGAGACCGTGGGGCAGAGACCGTGGGGCAGAGACCGTGGGGCAGAGACCGTGGGGCAGAGACCATGGGGGCAGAGACCGTGGGGCAGAGACCATGGGGGCAGAGACCGTGGGGCAGAGACCGTGGGGCAGAGACCGTGGGGCAGAGACCGTGGGGCAGAGACCGTGGGGCAGAGACCATGGGGGCAGAGACCGTGGGGCAGAGACCATGGGGGCAGAGACCGTGGGGCAGAGACCGTGGGGCAGAGACCATGGGGGCAGAGACCGTGGGGCAGAGACCATGGGGGCAGAGACCGTGGGGCAGAGACCGTGGGGCAGAGACCGTGGGGCAGAGACCGTGGGGCAGAGACCATGGGGGCAGAGACCGTGGGGCAGAGACCGTGGGGCAGAGACCGTGGGGCAGAGACCGTGGGGGCAGAGACCATGGGGCAGAGACCATGGGGCAGAGACCATGGGGCAGAGACCATGGGGCAGAGACCATGGGGGCAGAGACCATGGGGGCATAGACCGTGGGGCAGAGACCATGGGGGCAGAGACCATGGGGGCAGAGACCATGGGGGCATAGACCGTGGGGCAGAGACCATGGGGCAGAGACCATGGGGGCAGAGACCATGGGGGCATAGACCGTGGGGCAGAGACCATGGGGGCAGAGACCATGGGGGCAGAGACCATGGGGGCAGAGACCATGGGGGCATAGACCGTGGGGCAGAGACCATGGGGGCAGAGACCATGGGGGCAGAGACCGTGGGGGCAGAGACATGGAGCACATGGTAATATTGAAAAACAGTACTCACTGGTTCCCCATCCTGAGTCCAGCAGCGACAGAGACAGCTTTAAATTTAGTTATTAAACTTTAAGTTTAGAGTTATTAAACTTTGTTTGATCGATGAGTTTCTCTGAATCCAACCTCAGTCTTAGAAGAAAACTGAAACATGTACCTCTGCTTCCTTTGTACCTTTACTTCCCTTTTTGTAAAGAAATAACTGAACAAATTTACAGGAAGTCAACGACTGTTTACATCCTGCTCTACCCAGACTCTGGTCTCTCTATGGTCTCTCTCTCTGGTCTCTCTCTGGTCTCTCTCTCTGGTCTCTCTCTGGTCTCTCTCTGGTCTCTCTATGGTCTCTCTCTCTGGTCTCTCTATGGTCTCTCTCTATGGTCTCTCTATGGTCTCTCTCTCTGGTCTCTCTATGGTCTCTCTCTATGGTCTCTCTCTGGTCTCTCTATGGTCTCTCTATGGTCTCTCTCTGTTCTCTCTATGGTCTCTCTATGGTCTCTCTATGGTCTCTCTATGGTCTCTCTGGTCTCTCTCTGGTCTCTCTCTGGTCTCTCTCTGGTCTCTCTATAGTCTCTCTGGTCTCTCTCTGGTCTCTCTCTGGTCTCTCTCTGGTCTCTCTATGGTCTCTCTCTGGTCTCTCTATGGTCTCTCTATGGTCTCTCTACGGTCTCTATATGGTCTCTCTCTGGTCTCTCTGGTCTCTCTCTGGTCTCTCTCTGGTCTCTCTCTGGTCTCTCTCTGGTCTCTCTATGGTCTCTCTCTATGGTCTCTCTCTCTGGTCTCTCTATGGTCTCTCTCTATGGTCTCTCTCTGGTCTCTCTCTGGTCTCTCTCTGGTCTCTCTCTGGTCTCTCTCTGGTCTCTCTCTATGGTCTCTCTATGGTCTCTCTATGGTCTCTCTGGTCTCTCTCTGGTCTCTCTCTGGTCTCTCTCTGGTCTCTCTATGGTCTCTCTATAGTCTCTCTGGTCTCTCTCTGGTCTCTCTCTGGTCTCTCTATGGTCTCTCTCTGGTCTCTCTATGGTCTCTCTATGGTCTCTCTATGGTCTCTCTATAGTCTCTCTGGTCTCTCTCTGGTCTCTCTCTGGTCTCTATATGGTCTCTCTCTGGTCTCTCTATGGTCTCTCTATGGTCTCTCTATGGTCTCTCTATGGTCTCTCTATGGTCTCTCTCTGGTCTCTCTGGTCTCTCTCTGGTCTCTCTCTGGTCTCTCTCTGGTCTCTCTCTGGTCTCTCTCTCTGGTCTCTCTCTGGTCTCTCTCTGGTCTCTCTGGTCTCTCTCTGGTCTCTCTCTGGTCTCTCTCTCTGGTCTCTCTATGGTCTCTCTCTGGTCTCTCTCTGGTCTCTCTCTGGTCTCTCTCTGGTCTCTCTCTGGTCTCTCTCTGGTCTCTCTCTGGTCTCTCTCTCTGGTCTCTCTCTGGTCTCTCTCTGGTCTCTCTGGTCTCTCTCTGGTCTCTCTCTGGTCTCTCTCTCTGGTCTCTCTATGGTCTCTCTCTGGTCTCTCTCTGGTCTCTCTCTGGTCTCTCTCTGGTCTCTCTCTGGTCTCTCTCTCTCTCATCCGTTTTCTTCCGCTTTATCTGTTGCCGGGTGGCGGAGGCAGCCGTCTGAGCAGCTCATATGTCACACAGGGAGACAGTAGCTCAGTCTGTAGAGCATTAGCCTTTGAGCCTGAAGGTTGTGGGTTCAAGTCCACCTCAAGACTGACTCCCACTGATGTCTGCTGTCGTTGTGTCCTTAGGCAAGACACTTCCCCCACATTAGAATGATTCTGTGTGAATGGTTGGTGGTGGTGGGAGGGGCCGATGGGACTGGTTGCCTCGCTTCTGTCGGTGTGCCCCAGGGCAGCTGTGGCTACAGTAGTTTATCACCACCGTGTTTGGAGAGAGGATAATGATGTGAAGAGACTTTGAGAGTCTGAAAAGTGCTGTATGAAACTGAGCCATTATTATTATTATCTGATGTGGAAGCTGAGACACCTCTGTGTCCTGGGTCTCCTCCTGGTCTCCTTCTATGGTCTCTCCTATGTCTCCTCCTGGTCTCCTCCTATGGTCTCCTCCTGGTCTCCTCCTATGGTCTCCTCCTATGGTCTCCTCCTGGTCTCCTCCTGGTCTCCACCTGGTCTCCTCCTATGGTCTCCTCCTGGTCTCCTCCTATGGTCTCCTCCTATGGTCTCCTCCTATGGTCTCCTCCTGGTCTCCTCCTGGTCTCCTCCTATGGTCTCCTCCTGGTCTCCTCCTATGGTCTCCTCCTATGGTCTCCTCCTATGGTCTCCTCCTGGTCTCCTCCTGGTCTCCTCCTGGTCTCCTCCTATGGTCTCCTCCTGGACTCCTCCTGGTCTCCTCCTATGGTCTCCTCCTGGTCTCCTCCTATGGTCTCCTCCTATGGTCTCCTCCTGGTCTCCTCCTATGGTCTCCTCCTGGTCTCCTCCTGGTCTCCACCTGGTCTCCTCCTATGTCTCCTCCTGGTCTCCTCCTATGGTCTCCTCCTATGGTCTCCTCCTATGGTCTGGTCCCTCCTGGTCTCCTCCTGGTCTCCTCCTATGGTCTCCTCCTGGTCTCCTCCTATGGTCTCCTCCTATAGTCTCCTCCTATGGTCTCCTCCTGGTCTCCTCCTGGTCTCCTCCTGGTCTCCTCCTATGGTCTCCTCCTATGGTCTCCTCCTGGTCTCCTCCTGGTCTCCTCCTATGGTCTCCTCCTGGTCTCCTCCTATGGTCTCCTCCTATAGTCTCCTCCTATGGTCTCCTCCTGGTCTCCTCCTGGTCTCCTCCTGGTCTCCTCCTATGGTCTCCTCCTGGACTCCTCCTGGTCTCCTCCTATGGTCTCCTCCTGGTCTCCTCCTATGGTCTCCTCCTATGGTCTCCTCCTGGTCTCCTCCTATGGTCTCCTCCTGGTCTCCTGCTGGCCTCCTCATGTGCGACGTGAACACCTTCCCAGGGGGGAGACCAGGAGGCACCCACACAGAGGAGCAGTGGTTCTACTCCGAGCTCCTCTCTGGAGGAGTTTGAAAACCATTAATCTTTAATGTTCACTAATTCTTGTTTGTTAAAAGTAGCTACGATTCATAAAGCCGCATTACCAAACTGACTTAAGGTTTTTGCGCAAACCCAGAAGGAAAGTTTAGGTAAGCTGTCAATCAAAACCATCAACAACAACTTCTGTAACATGTGACATCACAAAGAAGCGGCTTTTACCTGAGAACAAGGCCGGTCTCCAGAGTCCGCTGCGGCTGAAGCCCGACTGCAGCTCACGGTGGAATTCTCCACCAAGAGGCGGGGCATAGACCAGTATGTCCCAATCAGCAAGCAGAGAGGGCGACCAGCTGTTGGTCTGTGCAACTGTCAATCACTCGCAAACTTTAAGGCGAGTTTACGTTCATGGTTATCATAATAATTCTTTCTACGTACGTTGTTTTATTCTTATCATAGGACAGAGAAGGGAGGGGGGAGAGGGGGGAGGGGGGTGAGGGGGAGATAGAGGAGACAGGGGAGAGAGGGAGAGAGAGAGAGAGGAGGAAACAGAGAAGAGGGGGAGACAGAGGAGGGGGAGAGAGAGGTTATATATTGTGTGTCAAATACTCAGATGCTGGACTCTGTTTTATACTTTTATCACATAAATCTTCTGAGCGTGCGCTCCTGGAGCCTATAATGTGGTTATGGTTCCATCTAGCGGCGAAAGTGTAGTGCAACCACAACACCAAGCCACAAAAACAGCTTGTTAGTAAAATAACACAGATAATCCTCAGAGCCCCACTCGGAGCTGGAGTTGAATAATGATAATAATAATAATAGTAATAATAATAAAGATGATAATAATAATAACAATAATAAAGAGGATAATGATGATAATAATAATAGTAATAATAATAATAAAGATGATAATGATAATAATAATAGTAATAGTAATAATAATAATAATAATAATAATAATGATAATAATAATAGTAATAACAACAATAATAAAGATGAGAATGATAATAATAATAATAATAATAATAATAATAAAGATGATTATAATAATAATAATAATAATAACAATAATAAAGATGATCATGATAATAATAATAAAAAAGTAATTATATTATTATGACACCTCCTGTCCGGCAGCGTCGCTGTGGTGCATCTCGGTCCCAGTCTCTGTTGCCTAGTGACGACAAACTCGCATTTCGCACTTCCGGGTGTTCCGGGTCCCTCAGACTTCCCCCAGCGCCACGGAGCAACTTTTACACAGGTTCGTCTTTGTTTTTACCCTCGAACCTGGAGCCGTGGACCAGGAGCAGCCACCGGAGACCGAGCCCCGGACCCGGTTCTACAGAAACATGATGAACAACTACACGTTCATTAAAGTGGTTGGACGAGGGAGCTACGGGGAAGTCCATCTGGTCACACACCGAACGGACCGGAAACAGGTCAGAACCACAGACAGAACCACAGACTGATATAACCACAGACAGAACCACAGACAGAACCACAGACTGATTGTACCACAGACAGAACCACAGACTGATATAACCACAGACAGAACCACAGACAGAACCACAGACTGATTGTACCACAGACTGATAGAACCACAGACAGAACCACAGACTGATAGAACCACAGACAGAACCACAGACTGATAGAACCACAGACAGAACCACAGACTGATAGAACCACAGACTGATAGAACCACAGACAGAACCACAGACTGATAGAACCACAGACAGAACCACAGACTGATAGAACCACAGACTGATAGAACCACAGACTGATAGAACCACAGACTGATAGAACCACAGACTGATAGAACCACAGACAGAACCACAGACTGATAGAACCACAGACTGATAGAACCACAGACAGAACCACAGACTGATTGTACCACAGACAGAACCACAGACTGATTGTACCACAGACAGAACCACAGACTGATAGAACCACAGACAGAACCACAGACTGATAGAACCACAGACAGAACCACAGACTGATAGAACCACAGACTGATAGAACCACAGACAGAACCACAGACTGATATAACCACAGACAGAACCACAGACAGAACCACAGACTGATTGTACCACAGACAGAACCACAGACTGACAGAACCACAGACTGATAGAACCACAGACTGACAGAACCACAGACTGATAGAACCACAGACAGAACCACAAACTGATTGTACCACAGACAGAACCACAGACTGATAGAACCACAGACAGAACCACAGACTGATTGTACCACAGACTGATTGTACCACAGACAGAACCACAGACTGATAGAACCACAGACAGAACCACAGACAGAACCACAGACAGAACCACAGACTGATAGAACCACAGACAGAACCACAGACAGAACCACAGACTGATTGTACCACAGACTGATAGAACCACAGACAGAACCACAGACTGATAGAACCACAGACAGAACCACAGACTGATAGAACCACAGACAGAACCACAGACTGATAGAACCACAGACAGAACCACAGACTGATAGAACCACAGACAGAACCACAGACTGATAGAACCACAGACAGAACCACAGACTGATAGAACCATAGACTGAACCACAGACTGATAGAACCATAGACTGAACCACATACTGATAGAACCACAGACAGAACCACAGACTGATAGAACCACAGACAGAACCACAGACTGATAGAACCATAGACTGAACCACAGACTGATAGAACCATAGACTGAACCACAGACGATAGAACCACAGACAGAACCACAGACTGATAGAACCACAGACAGAACCACAGACAGAACCACAGACTGATAGAACCACAGACTGACAGAACCACAGACTGAACCACAGACTGATTGTACCACAGACAGAACCACAGACTGATTGTACCACAGACAGAACCACAGACTGACAGAACCACAGACTGATAGAACCACAGACAGAACCACAGACTGATAGAACCACAGACAGAACCACAGACTGATAGAACCATAGACTGAACCACAGACTGATAGAACCATAGACTGAACCACATACTGATAGAACCACAGACAGAACCACAGACTGATAGAACCACAGACAGAACCACAGACTGATAGAACCATAGACTGAACCACAGACTGATAGAACCATAGACTGAACCACAGACTGATAGAACCACAGACAGAACCACAGACTGATAGAACCACAGACAGAACCACAGACAGAACCACAGACTGATAGAACCACAGACTGACAGAACCACAGACTGAACCACAGACTGATTGTACCACAGACAGAACCACAGACTGATTGTACCACAGACAGAACCACAGACTGATAGAACCACAGACAGAACCACAGACAGAACCACAGACTGATAGAACCACAGACTGATAGAACCACAGACAGAACCACAGACTGATTGTACCACAGACAGAACCACAGACTGATTGTACCACAGACAGAACCACAGACTGATAGAACCACAGACAGAACCACAGACAGAACCACAGACTGATAGAACCACAGACTGATAGAACCACAGACAGAACCACAGACAGAACCACAGACTGATTGTACCACAGACTGGTAGAACCACAGACAGAACCACAGACTGATAGAACCACAGACAGAACCACAGACAGAACCACAGACTGATAGAACCATAGACTGAACCACAGACTGATAGAACCACAGACAGAACCACAGACTGATAGAACCACAGACAGAACCACAGACTGATAGAACCACAGACAGAACCACAGACTGATAGAACCACAGACAGAACCACAGACTGATAGAACCACAGACAGAACCACAGACTGATAGAACCATAGACTGAACCACAGACTGATAGAACCATAGACTGAACCACATACTGATAGAACCACAGACAGAACCACAGACTGATAGAACCACAGACAGAACCACAGACTGATAGAACCACAGACAGAACCACAGACTGATAGAACCATAGACTGAACCACAGACTGATAGAACCATAGACTGAACCACAGACTGATAGAACCACAGACAGAACCACAGACTGATAGAACCACAGACAGAACCACAGACAGAACCACAGACTGATAGAACCACAGACTGACAGAACCACAGACTGATAGAACCACAGACAGAACCACAGACTGATAGAACCACAGACTGACAGAACCACAGACTGATAGAACCATAGACTGAACCACAGACTGATAGAACCATAGACAGAACCACAGACTGATAGAACCATAGACTGAACCACAGACTGATAGAACCATAGACTGAACCACAGACTGATAGAACCACAGACAGAACCACAGACTGATAGAACCACAGACTGACAGAACCACAGACTGATAGAACCACAGACAGAACCACAGACTGATAGAACCACAGACAGAACCACAGACTGATAGAACCACAGACAGAACCACAGACTGATAGAACCACAGACAGAACCACAGACTGATAGAACCACAGACAGAACCACAGACTGATAGAACCACAGACAGAACCACAGACTGATAGAACCACAGACAGAACCACAGACTGATAGAACCTCTTGGTGTGATTTAGGGTAGAAACAGCTGATATAGGAAGGCAAGTTTATTTGTATAGTACAGTTCATACACCAGGGCTCTCAAAGTGCGGCACAAAACACAGGCTTCATACGCTAGCCTAGCAACCACCATAGCAACACATCTATTTCATGTTCTGTACCATACATCACACACAGTGATGAAGATGAAGATGATGTCTGTGCAGTCTGTAGTGATGATGATGAAGATGATGTCTGTGCAGTCTGTAGTGATGAAGATGAAGATGATGTCTGTGCAGTCTGTAGTGATGATGATGAAGATGATGTCTGTGCAGTCTGTAGTGATGATGATGAAGATGATGTCTGTGCAGTCTGTAGTGATGAAGATGAAGATGATGTGTGTGCAGTCTGTAGTGATGATGATGAAGATGTGTGTGCAGTCTGTAGTGATGATGATGAAGATGGTGTCTGTGCAGTCTGTAGTGATGAAGATGAAGATGATGTGTGTGCAGTCTGTAGTGATGAAGATGATGATGAAGATGATGTGTGTGCAGTCTATAGTGATGATGAAGATGATGTGTGTGCAGTCTATAGTGATGATGAAGATGATGTGTGTGCAGTCTATAGTGATGATGAAGATGATGTGTGTGCAGTCTGTAGTGATGAAGATGAAGATGATGTGTGTGCAGTCTGTAGTGATGAAGATGAAGATGATGTGTGTGCAGTCTGTAGTGATGAAGATGAAGATGATGTGTGTGCAGTCTGTAGTGATGAAGATGAAGATGATGTGTGTGCAGTCTGTAGTGATGATGAAGATGATGAAGATGATGTGTGTGCAGTCTGTAGTGATGATGAAGATGATGATGATGAAGATGATGTGTGTGCAGTCTGTAGTGATGAAGATGAAGATGATGTGTGTGCAGTCTGTAGTGATGATGAAGATGATGATGATGATGAAGATGTCTGTGCAGTACGTGGTGAAGAAGCTGGACCTCAGGGCCTCCTCCAGGAGGGAGAGGAGGTGTGCGGAGCAGGAGGCGCAGCTCCTGTCGCGGCTGCGTCACCCCAACATCGTCACGTACCGAGAGTCGTGGGAGGGAGACGACTGTCTGCTCTTCATCGTTATGGGCTTCTGTGAGGGCGGGGACCTGTACCACCGCCTCAAGCACCAGCAGGGGGCGCTACTGCCAGAGACTCAGGTGGTCGAGTGGTTCGTCCAGATCGCTATGGCTCTGCAGGTGAGGGGGGGAGACAGGGAGAGAGGGAGACATGATGGGGGAGAGACATGGGACATGATGGGGGAGAGGGGGGAGAGACATAGGACATGATGGGGGAGAGGGGGGAGAGACATAGGACATGATGGGATAGAGGGGGGAGAGACATGGGACAAGAGGGGGAGAGACATTGGACATGATGGGGGGAGGGACATAGGACAAGAGGGGGAGAGACATGGGACAAGAGGGGGAGAGACATGGGACAAGAGGGGGAGAGACATGGGACATGATGGGGGGGGGGGGAGAGACATAGGACATGATGGGATAGAGGGGGGAGAGACATAGGACATGAGAGGGGAGAGGGGGGAGGGACATAGGACATGAGGGGGGAGAGACATAGGACATGATGGGGGAGAGGGGGGAGGGACATAGGACATGAGGGGGGAGAGACATAGGACATGATGGGGGAGAGGGGGGAGGGACATAGGACATGAGGGGGGAGAGACATAGGACATGATGGGGGAGAGGGGGGAGAGACATAGGATATGAGAGGGGGGAGGGACATAGGACATGATGGGGGAGAGAGGGGAGAGACATAGGACATGATTGGGGAGAGGGGGGAGGGACATAGGACATGATGGGGGAGAGGGGGGAGAGACATAGGACATGCTGGGGGAGAGGGGGGAGAGACATAGGACATGAGGGGGGAGAGACATAGGACATGAGGGGGGAGAGACATAGGACATGAGGGGGGAGGGACATAGGACATGATGGGGGAGAGGGGGGAGGGACATAGGACATGATGGGGGAGAGGGGGGAGAGACATAGGACATGATTGGGGAGAGGGGGGAGGGACATAGGACATGATGGGGGAGAGGGGGGAGGGACATAGGACATGATGGGGGAGAGGGGGGAGAGACATAGGACATGAGGGGGGAGAGACATAGGACATGAGGGGGGAGAGACATAGGACATGATGGGGGAGGGACATAGGACATGATGGGGGAGAGGGGGGAGGGACATAGGACATGATGGGGGAGAGGGGGGAGGGACATAGGACATGATGGGGGTGAGGGGGGAGGGACATAGGACATAATGGGGGAGAGGGGGGAGGGACATAGGACATGAGGGGGGAGAGACATAGGACATGATGGGGGAGAGGGGGGAGAGACATAGGACATGATGGGGGAGAGGGGGGAGGGACATAGGACATGAGGGGGGAGAGACATAGGACATGATGGGGGAGAGACAAAGGACATGATGGGGGAGAGGGGGGAGAGACATAGGACATGAGGGGGGAGGGACATAGGACAAGAGGGGGGAGAGACATAGGACATGATGGGGGAGAGGGGGGAGAGACATAGGACATGATGGGGGAGAGACATAGGACATGGTGGGGGAGAGGGGGGAGAGACATAGGACATGAGGGGGGAGAGACATAGGACATGATGGGGGAGAGGGGGGAGAGACATAGGACATGAAGGGGGAGAGACATTGGACATGATGGGGGAGAGGGGGGAGGGACATAGGACATGATGGGGGAGAGGGGGGAGGGACATAGGACATGAGGGGGGAGAGACATAGGACATGATGGGGGAGAGACAAAGGACATGATGGGGGAGAGGGGGGAGAGACATAGGACATGAGGGGGGAGAGGGGGGAGGGACATAGGACAAGAGGGGGGAGAGACATAGGACATGATGGGGGAGAGGGGGGAGAGACATAGGACATGATGGGGGAGAGACATAGGACATGATGGGGGAGAGGGGGGAGAGACATAGGACATGAGGGGGGAGAGACATAGGACATGATGGGGGAGAGGGGGGAGGGACATAGGACATGATGGGGGAGAGGGGGGAGGGACATAGGACATGATGGGGGAGAGGGGGGAGGGACATAGGACATGATGGGGGAGAGGGGGGAGGGACATAGGACATGAGGGGGGAGAGACATAGGACATGATGGGGGAGAGACAAAGGACATGATGGGGGAGAGGGGGGAGAGACATAGGACATGAGGGGGGAGAGGGGGGAGGGACATAGGACAAGAGGGGGGAGAGACATAGGACATGCTGGGGGAGAGGGGGGAGAGACATAGGACATGATGGGGGAGAGGGGGGAGAGACATAGGACATGAGGGGGGAGAGACATAGGACATGATGGGGGAGAGGGGGGAGGGACATAGGACATGATGGGGGAGAGGGGGGAGGGACATAGGACATGATGGGGGAGAGGGGGGAGGGACATAGGACATGATGTGGGGGAGGGACATAGGACATGGTGGGGGAGAGACATAGGACATGAGGGGGGAGAGACATAGGACATGATGGGGGAGAGGGGGGAGAGACATAGGACATGAAGGGGGAGAGACATTGGACATGATGGGGGAGAGGGGGGAGGGACATAGGACATGATGGGGGAGAGGGGGGAGGGACATAGGACATGAGGGGGGAGAGACATAGGACATGATGGGGGAGAGACAAAGGACATGATGGGGGAGAGGGGGGAGAGACATAGGACATGAGGGGGGAGAGGGGGGAGGGACATAGGACAAGAGGGGGGAGAGACATAGGACATGTTGGGGGAGAGGGGGGAGAGACATAGGACATGATGGGGGAGAGGGGGGAGAGACATAGGACATGAGGGGGGAGAGACATAGGACATGATGGGGGAGAGGGGGGAGGGACATAGGACATGATGGGGGAGAGGGGGGAGGGACATAGGACATGATGGGGGAGAGGGGGGAGGGACATAGGACATGAGGGGGGAGAGACATAGGACATGATGGGGGAGAGACAAAGGACATGATGGGGGAGAGGGGGGAGAGACATAGGACATGAGGGGGGAGAGGGGGGAGGGACATAGGACAAGAGGGGGGAGAGACATAGGACATGATGGGGGAGAGGGGGGAGAGACATAGGACATGATGGGGGAGAGGGGGGAGAGACATAGGACATGATGGGGGAGAGGGGGGAGAGACATAGGACATGAGGGGGGAGAGGGGGGAGGGACATAGGACATGATGGGGGAGAGGGGGAAACTTATTAATAGGCATAACTGCTCTAGTTTTATGTCATAGTGATCTGTGTTTGTGTGTGTATCTGTGTGTGTGTGTGTGTGTGTCTCTGTGTGTGTCTCTGTGTGTGTGTGTGTGTATCTGTGTCTGTGTGTGTATCTGTGTCTGTGTGTGTGTGTGTGTCTCTGTGTGTGTGTGTGTGTGTGTCTGTGTGTGTGTGTGTGTGTGTGTGTGTCTGTGTGTGTGTGTTTGTGTGTGTCTCTGTGTGTCTGTGTGTGTGTCTCTGTGTGTGTGTGTCTGTGTGTGTGTGTGTGTGTCTCTGTGTGTGTGTGTGTGTGTCTGTGTGTGTGTGTGTGTGTGTGTGTGTCTGTGTGTGTCTGTGTGTATGTGTGTGTGTCTGTGTGTGTGTGTGTGTGTCTCTGTGTGTGTGTGTGTGTGTGTCTGTGTGTGTGTGTGTGTGTCTCTGTGTGTCTGTGTGTGTGTGTCTCTGTGTGTGTGTGTCTCTGTGTGTGTATCTGTGTGTGTGTGTGTGTCTCTGTGTGTGTGTGTCTGTGTGTGTGTCTCTGTGTGTCTCTGTGTGTGTGTGTGTGTCTGTGTGTGTGTGTGTGTGTGTGTGTGTGTCTCTGTGTGTGTGTGTGTGTCTGTGTGTGTGTGTCTCTGTGTGTGTGTGTGTAGTACCTCCATGACAGACACATCCTCCACAGAGACCTAAAGACTCAGAACATCTTCTTAACAAAGACCAACATCATCAAAGTTGGAGATTTGGGAATCGCAAAAGTTCTGGAGAATCATTCTGACATGGCCATGACTCTGATCGGCACGCCTTACTACATGAGCCCTGAGCTGCTGTGTAACAGGCCATACAACCACAAGGTACACACACACACACACACACACACACACACGCCTTACTACATGAGCCCTGAGCTGCTGTGTAACAGGCCATACAACCACAAGGTACACACACACACACACACACACACACACACACGCCTTACTACATGAGCCCTGAGCTGCTGTGTAACAGGCCATACAACCACAAGGTACACACACACACACACACACACACACACGCCTTACTACATGAGCCCTGAGCTGCTGTGTAACAGGCCATACAACCACAAGGTACACACACACACACACACACACACACACGCCTTACTACATGAGCCCTGAGCTGCTGTGTAACAGGCCATACAACCACAAGGTACACACACACACACACACACACACACACACTGTATGTGAAATACAGCGAATACAGTTTGTGTAGTGTTGCTTGTGTTTGGACACTGCTCCATCATCTGTTGTTTATGTGAAGAGCAGAGCCCAGTCAAGGAGATGCACCAAAGACACACAACTTATGTGTATGTGATTAGAGCTGTAGCAGACACACAACTTATGTGTATGTGATTAGAGCTGTAGCAGACACCTTAAACTTATGTGTATGTGATTAGAGCTGTAGCAGACACCTTAAACTTATGTGTATGTGATTAGAGCTGTAGCAGACACGTTAAACTTATGTGTATGTGATTAGAGCTGTAGCAGACACACAACTTATGTGTATGTGATTAGAGCTGTAGCAGACACCTTAAACTTATGTGTATGTGATTAGAGCTGTAGCAGACACCTTAAACTTATGTGTATGTGATTAGAGCTGTAGCAGACACCTTAAACTTATGTGTATGTGATTAGAGCTGTAGCAGACACGTTAAACTTATGTGTATGTGATTAGAGCTGTAGCAGACACGTTAAACTTATGTGTATGTGATTAGAGCTGTAGCAGACACGTTAAACTTATGTGTATGTGATTAGAGCTGTAGCAGACACGTTAAACTTATGTGTATGTGATTAGAGCTGTAGCAGACACGTTAAACTTATGTGTATGTGATTAGAGCTGTAGCAGACACGTTAAACTTATGTGTATGTGATTAGAGCTGTAGCAGACACGTTAAACTTATGTGTATGTGATTAGAGCTGTAGCAGACACCTTAAACTTATGTGTATGTGATTAGAGCTGTAGCAGACACGTTAAACTTATGTGTATGTGATTAGAGCTGTAGCAGACACGTTAAACTTATGTGTATGTGATTAGAGCTGTAGCAGACACCTTAAAGAGACCTTTGTTCTGCTCCACGTGTTTCATCGCCTCAAAGACGACCTTTGCTTTGTCAATAACAGTGATCTCTGAGGACGCTAATGTTAGCGGTTAGCTTTATGTCAAGACTATCTATTTTGACAATAAGTGTGTGTCCTACAGCTGCTAAACCTGATGGAGTCAAAGTAAACAGTCTATGAACTATTACTAACCGCCCTATTCACATGAAAGTCCTGTGTATTTCTCCTGGTGTCGTCTCTCTGCTGCTCACATAAACCTCAGCTGAGGGAGAGACTCGCCACACATTTGCAGCAGCTGTGTACAGAGGTTTGAGAGCCGTGTGTGTTGTGGCAGTCGGACGTGTGGGCGCTGGGCTGCTGCGTGTACGAGATGTGTACGCTGAAACACGCCTTCAACGCCAAAGACATCAACTCCCTGGTCTATCGCATCGTGGAGGGAAAGGTGCGTCACTCTGTAGCAGTGGGGGCGGGTCCTGGCTCAAAAGTGGCCAAAATGACGTGCACTGACATGCTGCAGTACCACCCCGGGCCTGTGGGGGTGGACCCGGAATAAGAATTAGCCAATGCTAACATATAGCATCTTCTTACCTCTGGAAAACGTCTTTACAGGATGGTCCAAAAGCTCCGTTCCACATGTGTGTCAATGCTGAGTGTTCTGGACCAGTCTAGTTTAGTCGCTGTGGACTTTAGAAGTCTCTCGTTTAAATGAATGGAGCTCGTGCAGCTGACACATGCACAGATGTGTTTTTCACATTCTCCAGCCCCCGCGGCCATTTTGAATCACTCCATGAAAGCCCAATTTTTAGCCCATTAGTCAGAACGACGGAGATAGGCCTGACTACGTCCATTAATATTCACAGTCTATGCGCTGTAGACAGATGCTAATGCTAACACAGACTGTAGACAGATGCTAATGCTAACACAGACTGTATACCAAGCCCTGGCGATCCAACATGGCGCCGTATTCAAATGAATGTTTGTGCTCAGTGGCGCTTTGTGCCGGCATTGGTGCCAAAAAGATTAGCGGAAGTTGCCTGGAACTCTCAAAGGTCTATGGGAAACTCTCAAAGACCTATGGGAAACTCTCAAAGACCTATGGGAAACTCTCAAAGATCTATGGGAAACTCTCAAAGATCTATGGGAAACTCTCAAAGACCTATGGGAAACTCTCAAAGACCTATGGGAAACTCTCAAAGATCTATGGGAAACTCTCAAAGGTCTATGGGAAACTCTCAAAGGTCTATGGGAAACTCTCAAAGATCTATGGGAAACTCTCAAAGATCTCTGGGAAACTCTCAAAGGTCTATGGGAAACTCTCAAAGATCTATGGAAACTCTCAAAGATCTTTGGGAAACTCTCAAAGATCTATGGGAAACTCTCAAAGATCTTTGGGAAACTCTCAAAGATCTATGGGAAACTCTCAAAGATCTATGGGAAACTCTCAAAGATCTATGGGAAACTCTCAAAGATCTATGGGAAACTCTCAAAGATCTTTGGGAAACTCTCAAAGATCTATGGGAAACTCTCAAAGATCTATTGGAAACTCTCAAAGATCTATGGGAAACTCTCAAAGATCTATGAGAAACTCTCAAAGATCTATGAGAAACTCTCAAAGGTCTATGGGAAACTCTCAAAGATCTATGGGAAACTCTCAAAGATCTCTGGGAAACTCTCAAAGATCTATGGGAAACTCTCAAAGATCTATGGGAAACTCTCAAAGATCTATAGGAAACTCTCAAAGATCTATGGGAAACTCTCAAAGATCTATGGGAAACTCTCAAAGGTCTATGGGAAACTCTCAAAGATCTATGGGAAACTCTCAAAGATCTATGGGAAACTCTCAAAGATCTATGGGAAACTCTCAAAGATCTATGGGAAACTCTCAAAGATCTATGAGAAACTCTCAAAGATCTATGGGAAACTCTCAAAGATCTATGAGAAACTCTCAAAGGTCTATGGGAAACTCTCAAAGATCTATGGGAAACTCTCAAAGATCTCTGGGAAACTCTCAAAGGTCTATGGGAAACTCTCAAAGATCTATAGGAAACTCTCAAAGATCTATGGGAAACTCTCAAAGATCTATGGGAAACTCTCAAAGATCTCTGGGAAACTCTCAAAGGTCTATGGGAAACTCTCAAAGATCTATGGAAACTCTCAAAGATCTCTGGGAAACTCTCAAAGATCTATGGGAAACTCTCAAAGATCTATGGGAAACTCTCAAAGATCTATGGGAAACTCTCAAAGATCTATGGGAAACTCTCAAAGATCTATGGGAAACTCTCAAAGATCTATGGGAAACTCTCAAAGATCTATGGGAAACTCTCAAAGATCTATGGGAAACTCTCAAAGATCTATGGGAAACTCTCAAAGATCTATGGGAAACTCTCAAAGATCTATGGGAAACTCTCAAAGATCTTTGGGAAACTCGCCTGTATTTGGGCATCGTCTGGTCCTCCCGGTTCTGAGCAGTGGATGATCTCCCATAATGCATTGTGTCAGATACACGTGTGTGGGTCTCACACCGGTCTCACGCACGTGCACAGAGGGTCTCACGCACGTGCACAGAGGGTCTCACGCACGTGCACAGAGGGTCTCACGTACGTGCACAGAGGGTCTCATGCACGTGCACAAGGGGTCTCACGCACGTGCACAGAGGTCTCATGCACGTGCACAGAGGGTCTCGTCTCTGACCAATCAAGAGCAGTTCCTCAGAGCGGGAGTTAGTGTGGATTTAAACAAAACCGAAGGATTTAAGAAAAAAAAAGTTCAGGACGACAAGGACACTAACATCCCCACAAAATCTGACCTTTATGAAAGCTGTAGTTTCTCTGTCAGGTTCTCTGTCAGGTTCTCTGTCAGGTTCTCTGTCAGTTCTCTGTCAGGTTCTCTGTCAGGTTCTCGGGGGGGGGTGGGGGGGGGGGTGGGTGTCAGGTTCTCTGTCAGCTGAGGTCGAGCTGTTTTAATTTACATTAAGTTCTATAAGGAACATTTCTGGGTAGCCCACGTGACTGTAGTCTCTGAGTGGCCACAGTCACAGCTCTACCTCAGAGAGAAAGAACAGCAACTCTTTAGGGTCATCTCTGCTGAATGTATCTAATTACTATAAAACGTCACTAAAACTCACCTAAAAGCCATAGATTAGCATAGACAGGAAGTGAACGGGCTGATCCTTGTTAACAGAAGTGACGTCACGCCTCACTCTGCATACGCCCATAAGAATAGCTCGTACATATATAGACAGGCCACGTCATGGAAACTAAAGCACAAGAGGAAGCCTGAAGAAGAAACTAATACAATAATAAAATCTGCACCTTCCTTTTTTGTCTCGTTAGTATAATGTTGCTCTTCTAAAGTAGGTCCAGATATTACATTAATGCATATATATGTTTTTAAACCCACCCAGAGGCAGCCTTTTCACATCAAATATCACTTTATATGGACTTACGCAGAAAAGACTAACTGTAAATGTATTTCTGCAAATGATTGGTTCATATTTAGAATGTTCACGGGTCCAGACAGAATCATCGTTTAAAAGAACAAGACACACACACAGACAAATGTGTGTCTTAAACACATTTGAGAGGAGGAAGCAGTAAGGCCCAGGGTCCCTCTCTGGGTCCAGACTCTCTCTGGGTCCAGACTCTCTCTGGTCCAGACTCTCTCCGGTCCAGACTCTCTCCGGTCCACTCTCTCCGGGTCCAGGGTCCACTCTCTCCGGTCCAGACTCTCTCCACTCTCTCCGGTCCAGACTCTCGGTCCAGACTCTCTCCGGGTCCTGACTCCTCCGGTCCAGACTCTCTCCGGGTCCTGACTCTCTCCGGGTCCTGACTCTCTCCGGGTCCAGACTCTCTCCGGGTCCAGACTCTCGGTCCAGACTCTCTCCGGGTCCTGACTCTCTCCGGGTCCAGGCTCTCTCCGGGTTATGACTCTCTCCGGGTCCAGACTCTCTCTGGGTCCAGACTCTCTCCGGGTCTAGACTCTCTCCGGGTCCAGACTCTCTCCGGGTCCAGACTCTCGGTCCAGACTCTCTCCGGGTCCAGACTCTCGGTCCAGACTCTCGGTCCTGACTCTCTCCGGGTCCTGACTCTCTCCGGGTCCAGACTCTCTCCGGTCCAGACTCTCTCCGGGTCCAGACTCTCTCCGGTCCTGACTCTCTCCGGGTCCAGACTCTCGTCCAGACTCTCTCCGGGTCCTGACTCTCTCCGGGTCCAGACTCTCTCCGGGTCCTGACTCTCTCCGGTACAGGTACAGGCAGAGAGGGGAGGAGAGGGAGGGAGGATACAATCAGCTGCTGTCAGACTGTACAACGATCAACACGGACTAAAAAACGCTGCCGACCTGAGCTCACATGTCTGTCACTCATGATACAGGTTCTTTACAAATGACAGAATATTCTCAGTTTTTAGTTTAATATAATTCAATGTTTCTTTGAACAGTTCTAATCACGACAGTAATGATCTCAGAAGACTTTTCAAAGCTGTCGACTTGTGTGTCTTTGTAGAGACAGAGACAGCGCTGGAATCACCATCAAACATTTTCCATTCCATTTTCTTCCGCTTCATCCGTTGCCGGGTCGCAGGGGGACCAGCAGTCTAAGCAGAGGACTGTTGTTATGTTGAACAGGACAGTATCCAGTATCTAGTTTTGTAATTGGGCGTAAACAAATATTTCACTTCTTCTCGCTCCCTTTCAAAGAGGATTACTTCATTGTAGAAAATATGTAATCTGCATTAGTGTATATTTACTGTAATGTTTAGGATACCACAAGGTTGTGATTAATTTAATTTTTGTTATTGTGTCATGCTCGGAAATAAATGATCAATTCATTCATAACTGAAGGCAGTGGAGACGGCAGCTGGCTACAACCACAGGCCGGACAGAAATATACACGGACAAGGTACACGGACCTGTGACATGGAATTATTATTCCAGGGTTAGGGTTAGGAGAGACGTGATGAACCAGAGTGATGAGAGGACATGGAACAGGTGTTGAGGCCTCACACCTGCTTCAGAGCCACGCCCCCTGCTTCAGAGCCACGCCCCCCGCAGCTGGAGTTTAGCTCATATCTGCATTTACAAAGACAACAGCAAAATATACATAATAATAATAATTATTATTATACTGCATCAGTTTTATACAGAGATGGACACTCTAAGATTATTCACTTTATTATTATTTCACTTCAAACATCAGTGTGCCCTGGAGCAGCGAGGCAACCAGTCTGTGCCATCGGCCCCTCCCACCACCACCAACCCTTCACACACGCACCAGACTCATTCTAATGTGGGGGAAGTGTCTTGCCTAAGGAGACAACCACAGTTTGGCACTTTACATGTCTCAATTCATCACAGAACCAACCATTAAGATCCACAAAATACACAAATGTATTGGTCCAGAGGGAGAGACCAATGTCTGTGAATGTTGATACTTGTCATACATGT